CAAAAAATATTCCGAAGATATTATAATAAAGGTAAATATATTATACAGTAGCTTGGCACCATTTGATGACCAGTCAACAGGTCGCCATATACCGCCAAGAGTGTACATAAAAAAATTTAGAGCAAGCATTTGCATATTTGAATCGCTTCTTTTCCAAACAATTTATCAAATGTTGTGCAAAAGTAGTTTCTTTCTACATGTAAAGCATCTAAAAAATGGTTTTGAAAATTATCTTTTTTGAAATATATTAATTAAATCCTATAGTATGTATTATACTTTTATGTTTAAGAAAAATTGAATTTATGTTATAATTTAGCAGATAGTATAATATATTATAAACTGTAAAATTATAATTTTAGTAAATTCTATACAAATTAATATTTAAATCATACATTAAATATCAAATGCGACTGTAATAAATTTCAATCCACTTGCAATAAATTTTATTTAACTTACAAGTTGTGTACAATGATATCGCATATTACAAATTGGATGACTTTATTTAATTGGAGTATAGTTCATAATTTGTGGGAATATGACTATAAAAGCATAAATATTTATAAATATTTATTGTGCACCTCTTTCAGGAAATTTTATTTCTCAGAATTTTAGCTAGTATTAATGAGAGGATTAACAAATACTATAACTGATGTAATATGTTATTTTATTATTATATGATTAAATTTCATTTAAATGTAACCGAGCACATCTCCCGATAGACTACGCATGATATAGATTTGCATTCTTTAACGTCTTGACAACCATCAATTACAGTCATTAAAAAATCGACATGGAGTCGTTTAATTATTTATTATGGGGCGTATGTTTCTTTCCATCTTCATGAATAATGTAGTAACTGTAATTGTAAAAGTTTTTCTACTTCTAATCGTTAAGGGATGTCCTCCTTCACGGTCATGCATATTGTTTCCTATTGAATAAAATATTTATATATTTTCATGTTCATCGGAAGTACAAAGAATATCATATTTTCTGTAAAAACTCCTACTTTATTACACAAAAATGCAAAACCCAGTATGGCGATAAAAGTGATGTGTTATAGTTATTGTAATTAACGTGTGATATATTTCTCATGGTATTTTTCTGTACCAGATCATATGTGCATGATCAAGGTATGGCAAGTGTTTAGGAAAATACGTATATGTATATTAATCGTACTACATATATATATTAAGTGTATAAATAAGTTTTTGCCCCGTTTAACAAAAGATGGCGCCACCAGTATGTTATGGTTAAAATTGTCTGCTGTAAAACGTCATATCTTAAGGTTGGACATCTGGCAACAACATAACCTTGAAATGTTAGTGATTTTGTATCAGCATCATATATCTTTTTTCGTGTGAAAATGTCGAGTTTTTTTTTGAGCCGAATAAGCGTCATTTGCGGGAGCTTGTTTAATTTGAAGAAATCTGCAGCTGAGGCGCATCGATTGCTTGAAGCATATGGTGGAGGTTGCCTTAAGTGAGAGAAGTTGCCGTGAGTGGTTTCAAAAATTTAAGAACGGTGAATTTGACGTCGAAGACAAAGAACGTAGTTTCGACGTGGAATCCACCAATTACCAGAAAGTTGGAAAAAAGTAAGTGGCTAGCGATGGACAACACTTTTAATAAAACATTAGGTACCGTTCTTTCACAATAAATGCCCAATTTTTGATGAAAAAACGGCGGAAACACTTATTTATACTCCTAATATATGCATATTTTATGAATTGCACGTTGACTTTTTATGTAAGAATTTAATTAGGAATTATGGTGAGTATATAATAAATAATATTATTCATTTTTTTGCACTGTCTATTTTAGAGCTGGAATTAAATGGTGTGGCATTGATGAATCTCACCAATTTGTTCATTCATTTTGTTTTGAATTAAATGCATTTTTGAACAAACGAAATGCACTTTTTAAAAAACGGACCGAACTAATTTGTACACCTAATATTTATTTATTAGGTATAACTTTATTTTTACGCTATAGTTAAGTTTGTGTCTGCGAAGGTTATTTCATTCACACCCTCAATTTGTACAGCCTCTATTGATTAATATTACTTGATTTATATTTCAAATCGTTCCAAGTAGTTGGACCCATTGTTACTATCGATTTCAATTAACCAAGTCACGTACATAAAACACATGCATATACACATATATACATATCCATCTAACAGCAATTTAGAGAGCAGTTATGATTTCCGTAATCATACGACAATAGAATGATAAGTTTGAACCAATATCGATAATCTCGTCGATTGTGAACATAAATTGACATTTCGTTTGCTACATGTTTAACATAATTATAATTAATATTGCATTCGTTTTATTGTTGTCAGATGTATCTATGAGAAGAGATTGCGGAGTACAATAGTCATTTATATATATATATTTTTTTTTCATTAATATGTACGAGTAGAATAAGGAAAAAAAAAATATATATATATATAAATGACTATTGTATTCCGCAATCTCTTCTCATAGATACATCTGACAACAATAAAACGAATGCAATATTAATTATAATTATGTTAAACAAATTATGTTGGCAAAAATTGAACAACAACAGTTCTCTTGAGCAGGATCTGTCATTTCAACTAGCGTTAACAAAAATATAATAAAAATTTTGAAGACGCTACCGTCATGACGTATACGAAGAAAATTTTATATTTAAAATTACTATAATGTGGTAGTAGTTGCAGACCATCATGTAATTATAAAATTTAAATGCTATAGCCATTTTTTTAAATAATAATGCAATATAATTTTTACACTTTTTCATAGTAAAAATTTTTATAATGTAAAGTCAAAACCATTGTATTGCAAAATACGAGATAATATAGCTACGAGAGATAACGGCACACACATACACACACACAATTTATAAAATATTCAGATACTTTTTAACAATAAGTAAATGTCAACATGAGTACCAACTATATATATAAGTGTACACGGTAATTATATGTATCAACCATATGTGGGTGCAATATATGGCGTAGACTAAAAGACTACTATACTGTTTTTTGACTATATGCTAAAACCAAAATTATGCCGCTTGTATATAAAATCAAAATATGCATTATTCATTAGTTTGTGTAAAATGTATATATATTGTATTCCACATGCATCTGTTTGCGTTACTATTCTAACAACTTGAGCTAAAGTAATTTTAGAATAATGAATAAGGAAAGTTAAAATAAATATGTAACAAGAAGCTTTAATATGTTACTAATTGATGAAAAACTATTTAACTCCTGTGTCCAGATACACATCAGTTATTTATATTTTATTTTTTAAGTACATTAAATGCCGAGTATGACGTTTTTATGATCTGAAAGAAGATAAATTATAGAAAAAGTTATTCTATAGAATATTGTGTAGTTATTATTAAAAATTATTAAAAATTATTAAAAATTATTAAAAAATTTGATTATATTGCGACTTTACGCCATGAACATCAATAATATCGCATAGATTTATTTGATCATTAAAGTACTTATATATATCATAACAATACTATACTAACATTGTTGTAAGACTGAAGAGATAGAGTTATCAAGAAGCTGCTCGTGAATTTTATAGGAATTGTGCTTCCTATCATGATTATGAGCAACTCTTTTTTTTCGTTAACTGATAATAATGGCCAGTCCATACAATATATAGCGTTTCCTAAGTTCATACTCTACCAATATATATATATATATATATATATACACACAACATATAAATATACAGTTTTTGAACATGGCCGAGACACTACCGCGTCTCCTGATATATATACAATATATAAATGAAATTATCACTTTACAATAATACTGAATCTACTAATACTTATTAATATTTATCACATGGTCTTCAGTTAAACTATTTATTACTTTTCAGTTATTTCATAAACACAAGCGTTTTTACATGTTACTGAAATAGTAAAATTTCTAACAGTGTATATGCAGACATATATATGTATTATATATGAAGTATATATATGCATATATTGTATATATATATAGCTTATATATGTGTATATGCCGCAGCTTTTTTGCAAAAAGACGGTTATCCTACTTTAGCCTTTTTGTAAAAAGACTAGCCTTTTTTCGAAAAAGCTGATTCCACAAAAAGGCTGCGATGTATATATACAGGATGTTTGAAATGTGTGATAATTCCTTAATATTTTGAAAACTAAGTATTTTCGAAAAAAATGCTCAGACAAAAGTTGTAAGATTTAAATAAAACGAAGAAAATTTAATTCGGCTAAATACAGGAGTCACGGCACGGTAAGAAGTGAGCAAAATTTATAAAAAAATATTTAATAAAACATAAGATATGTGATTACATCGACGTTAGATATTTTCGGACGTTTCGGCTATACATTTTAGCCATCCTTAGCAGAACATTAACACTAAATATCCAAGTATCCGATAGGAAGCACAATTCTCGGCCAAAGAAATTTCCATGCTTGTTGGTAATAAAATTATGTTATCTAAATATTAATAACAATGATGTTAGAAAATATATTTAAAATTAATTAACGTAATTGACCAAAATTTATGCTTACCAAGTGGATCCAAGGTAAAAACAAAAAAGTAACATAGTCACTTAAAATTATTACATAATAAATTAAAATAAATGCAGAATAATCTCGTCAAGTTATAAAGATCTTAAAAGAAAAAATCGTCTAAATTCTGTCATGTTCTAATTATCTAATTGATTCTAAATACGACACAATGATGACAAAGCGCCAGAACACACAGGAATGACATATATGTATAATTAAAGATATATATTTTATTTATTTACAATTTACCTAAAATATCTATGTACGTGCGGTCTAATTCATCGCAATTATTTTGTAAATTGAGACCTTTCTTTTGACTCTTAATATGAATATTTTCTGAAATAATGCGCTTATTATAATAACTCTTCACATCCAAAATTCTCACATTATCCTAATCAAAATCGTGATTTTGTTGCATCCTATGCTCCGATACAACAAATAATGCTCTTGATGTTCTGTGTATATTATTATGATGTTCTTTTACTCTCGTTTATAGTTTCCTACCCGTTTGACCTACATAGGAAGCATCACAATCATTGCAATTGATTTTGTAAACCACATTTCTTTTTTGTTCATTTGAAAGACGATCTTTATGTACTTTAATAAATCTATTTAATTTATTAAAACTGAAAAAAGACACCTTTTGTTCACTGTCATTAATAATGTTTTTAAATTTATCTGATATTTCCTGAATATAAGAAATTGTGAACCATTTCATCTTCTTTTTAATGTGGAGAATATCATTTCTATTTGTTGTATGTTTTGTTTTTTTAATCAAGAATGCAATCCTCAGTTATAGTCTTAAAAAATAATTCAATGGAAAGTTATTTTCAATCGAAATTTTATTAATTTTAGTCAATTTTTTGTGAAATTGTGGATGCAAAAGATAAAACACTTTGTCAACTAAACCCAATATCACACCTTTTTTTTGAAACATTGGATACTGAGAATAAAGTCAAAAATCTCCCCGAGAACCACGGAGTAATAAGAAGGAGATCAATCTCAAGCGGTCGACCATGAAAAAGATGGGCTCGAAACACGGTATCGGAAAAACGCTGTATAGAAGAACTGATCCGAGCGCACCTGTCGGAAAAAACATCGCAACACATCGAAATGTAGTAGGTTAGAGAAAGCAAAATATATGTCACGTGACAGTCAATACTTCTAACTTTTCCCACGATGGCACTAAAATCATATTTTCTTGATTTTTCATGGGGTTTTCCGAAACCGTGTTTCGAGCCCATATTTATTCTCGAGCTTGATCTCCTTCTTATTACTCCGTGCCGAGAACGTAGGTTTCTGAAGTCAGTTCAAATTTTAGAAAATTTTGCGCATTTCTTATCGGGATGATTCCTACATACAAGGAAGGTTAGGCAACTCAAAAATTCAAAAAATTCTGAAACTTTGTGTGCAAGTAGAGTAATTCATCCGTAACACAAAATTATTTTTTGTTAGTGCGGAATTTCACTCCACGGCAAGGGGGTGAAACACCAAAAAATCGATTTTTTTCTTTCGAAACGAATATCGTCGAAACTATAAGAGGTACAAAACAATTTCCAATATAAAAATTGAATGGTTTTAAGAGTATACTTTAAAAATATAATAAAAAAATTTTTTATTTATTTATTTAATACCGCATCCCCACTCCTATTTTAAAAAGTTATCAAATTTTTATATAATTAAAATTAAAGAGCATTTCATACTGAAAACAACGATATATATTATAATTATGTTACGCAAAACCATTTTCCAAATATAAATGGAAACGTTTCTATATGCAAGCCCCGTATGCATTTGCCTCATACCGCGTTGGCTGCGTGAAATAGTTTGAAAGGTAAATACAATAAATGCATCAGTACAGTATCAGTACAGCAGCAACTATTGAAATAAGTACTTTTATATAACAACAGCACTAATAATAATAATAATAATAATTTGTCCGACTGCTAAAACCAGTCAAATATTTTTATGGTATATAAAGAAATGTACAAAAACTTAAGACTAAAAACAAAGCATGAATAAAGAAAATATTATTTTTATAAAATATCGTGCATATTGAATTAATCATACCGGAATATTGAAATTGTAGATCTAATATTTATTATTTTAAATAATTTTGTTAATTCACAATAGCACTATTAATTAAACAATCATACCTAATCAATTTTTGTGTTAATATTCTTCTACAAAGAATACTAAGTCGTTGAATTTGTAAAAGTCAATTTTACCACGTTTGATTATTAAAATGCATTTATATAAAGCGATGCATACTTACAAATTAATTATTATTAATATACATTAATATACATGTTTGGAGAAATAAATGTGTTTAAGTTTAAACATTATAAACCAAGTTCCCTTCTTGGTTGTTCAAAACAAAAAATTTAGTTTTCGAAATATTAAGAGACACCCACACATTTTAAACACCTTGTACACACACACACACACACACACACACACACACACACACACACACACGTATTCATAGACTAGTTTCAAATCAACCAGATAAGCCATTAGATTTATTTCTATCAAAATTTTATAACAAATTGATTTATACAAAAGTATACGTGATACTTTATATTACCTTACTAATATACATATATATCAACGATACGATTTATAACATGTCGATAGTTACCTTAAGAATAACTTCGTTTCCAGACCAGCAATAAATATAAATTTGTACAAACATGCCAATAGTGTATACTAAAAAAGTTGCAGTACCAGACAATTCTGTAATATGTATTGACAAGTAATACACACTTGTACATAATACCAGTATGCTTGCAAAGAATTGAACGAAAAGCACCTGGTTAAATATAACGTTTACCGTTTTGGCGTATCTGTAATTGTTTCACATTAGTCGTGCGTTGCTGTATGAGTTATATATATATACATATATATATAAAGTAATTATACATATAATACTATCTTAATACATAATAATGACAATTACAAAACTCTCGATATTAAAATATAACAAAATGATACAAAGGCAAATGAGAGTTAAATTATTTGACATTTGTATTATTTTGTTATATTTTAATACATAATTTTATAACATGATTCCTATATTAATCGAAAAAATGTAAAAAGACTTTAGCATATATGTATATATATGTGAATATATAGGTCATTCCATGCCAAGTGGGCCACTCAAAACTTTGGGATTTTCGATTTGGCTGAAATTTTGATGTATTATAGTACCCATCGCAAGAAGCTACCATAATTTTTTTTAAATTTTTTCATCAACATAGTCATGAGATATAAATTTTTTTCAAAATTCGCATTTTTCAAAATTCGCAATTTTCAAATGCCTATAACTTTGCGAAAAATAATCCAAACAAAACGTTTTTTTTTTTTAAATTATGTTTTTTTCTCTAGTTTTCAAAAAAAAAATACCAAGAAAAGTTTCAAAATTGTTTTTTAATTTTTTTTGTAATTTAATGTAAAAAATTATTAATTTTTTAAAGTATGACACTTAATTTTTTTAAAAAAATTCTCAAAAACTTAGATTTATTTGATGATTTCTAAGACTAATTTGATCGTGAACAAATTTTTTCTTCTATTTTTTTTTAATTTTGTATTTTTTACGCAATGGAATAATATGAAAATCATAATTTTGTCATGATCTACAATTTTTTTATTTATTCTCAATATAATAAATAACTTTGATATTTTTACAATATTTTTTGAGAAATTGGGAGTTTCTCTTATAATTAAAAAATCAATAAATATTTTTCGTCGAGAAGGTATCAAAATTTATTTTCTTAAACGTTTAAATAATTTACATACTCTACATTCCTCAGAATTAGAATACTCTTTTACAGTAATACAACCATTTTTATTAGGTTTGATACAATGTAATTTTTGGTAAATATATAGAAAAGGGAGCCCCCCCCCCATGATCTTGACCTTGACATATGTTGTCAAGGTCATGACCCTGAGTAACCTCCCCCAGGTTTTAGGTGGCGGTCACTGTCCGTTAAAAAGTTATTAACAAAAAAAGTTTCAAAATTAACGTATCATTTCTGCCATATATGTATTATAACAAGTACTATTTTACATCTCCTTCTGTTTAGAAACGTTAAACTTTCCAGGCGAAGCAACTCTCACCTCCCCCAACCCCCTGCGAAGGGGCACACGACTTCTACGATTGTGTTCCATTCGTTATATAATGATTATGAGTCTATTACTTGATATTTCACACACACACGGGCGGGTGCAAGGAGGTGGCCTTCGTTCACCACCCACACCGTCGACAGAGGTCTGCCCCGACAGTACAATCATAGCAACAGTACAATTGCTTCGCCTGGAAAGTTTAACGTTTCTAAACAGAAGGAGATGTAAAATAGTACTTGTTATAATACATATATGGCAGAAATGATACGTTAATTTTGAAACTTTTTCTGTTAATAACTTTTTAACGGACAGTGACCGCCACCTAAAACCTGGGGGAGGTTACTCAGGGTCATGACCTTGACAACATATGTCAAGGTCAAGATCATCGGGGGGGGGGCTCCCTTTTCTATATATTTACCAAAAATTACATTGTATCAAACCTAATAAAAATGGTTGTATTACTGTAAAAGAGTATTCTAATTCTGAGGAATGTAGAGTATGTAAATTATTTAAACGTTTAAGAAAATAAATTTTGATACCTTCTCGACGAAAAATATTTATTGATTTTTTAATTATAAGAGAAACTCCCAATTTCTCAAAAAATATTGTAAAAATATCAAAGTTATTTATTATATTGAGAATAAATAAAAAAATTGTAGATCATGACAAAATTATGATTTTCATATTATTCCATTGAGTAAAAAATACAAAATTAAAAAAAAATAGAAGGAAAAATTTGCCCACAATCAAATTAGTCTTAAAAATCATCAAATAAATTTAAGTTTTTATGAGAATTTTTTTAAAAAAATTAAAAGTGTCATACTTAAATAAAATTAATAATTTTTTACATTAAATTACAAAAAAAATAAAAAACAATTTTGAAACTTTTCTTGGTATTTTTTTTTGAAAACTAGAGAAAAAAACACAATTTAAAAAAGAACGTTTTGTTTGGATTATTTTTCGCAAAGTTATAGGCATTTGAAAATTGCGAATTTTGAAAAATGCGAATTTTGAAAAAAATTCATATCTCATGACTATGTTGATAAAAAAATTTGAAAAAAATTATGGTAGCTTCTTGCGATGGGTACTATAATATATCAAAATTTCAGCCAAATCAAAAATCCCAAAGTTTTGAGTGGCCTACTTGGCATGGAATAACTCATATATATATCTCATTTACTAGAACACACACACACAAAAGCTATTTTAGACATTAATTTTTATTCTGCACAGAATTACATTATAATAAAGGTAACGTTGAATGTACTCTGTTTTAAAAGTCGTGCTAGTTTTCTATTGACGTTAGTTTTTTTTTTCAACAAACGGTAGTTATTTATATTTTTAAATTTAAACGCTATTTAAAATAACCTTTATAAACATCAATGATTAACATTATATTAAACAATAACGATTTTTAGGTACAGGAAATAAATAACGTTTACACATGCAGTCACATACGCAAATAAAAATGGCATTTGAACGTATGCATAAAAATTCTTACGTAACTTACTTGTAAATACTGAGCTGATGACGTATACACTCCGACAGTTCCGTTTTATCTTTGTTCAATAAAGAGTTTGCACGTCCTAGATATTTATTTGTTTTATTAATTATTAATTTATGTAGACGACTTTCGAATATTTCAAATTGTGCACACGTTTGCAAAATCAATCCGAAGACTAAGGTTTCTGTGCCAACATTTATTATTGTGGCAAAAATTAAAGTTACAATCTGATGAATTGATATAATCCAAAATATCGTAGATACATTGTAATTGCATGGCAGCCATATTCGATAAGGTAAATGACCTTGCATAATGTTTAATACTGATCCTATTGTAACGCCTGTAACGGAACCTGTTGCTAAAAGTGAATATTTTATCGAGCATGATCTGCAAATGTAGAATCAAGATGAAATTTTATATAAATTTTTATTATCATTTATATATATTTTTAAATTAATTTTATCAATCAATTAATTATCAATAATATTAATTTATACTATCACTTAATTCTCGGTCCTTATATTCAATCAATTATAGAACTGCTTCATTTGAATCTTTTTCTCGTCATGCAATCATTTTAAAGCGTTATCCTTAAGTTTTAATATAATGTGTAATAAGTGTCGGTGCTGCAAATTTAATCTCAAAAAATGGTAGTGAAAATTACCCAGACAGCACAGTATAAATGTTTAAAAAATGTATTTATAACATATACATGTTGGACGTTTAGACATATTAAAAACATCCGGATTAGGCCCATGAATATTTTAAAAATATTTTAAAAACATCTCCAGGGGTGGGTTCAGAATGAAAATTTTTCGTCCGGACAAGGGTGTCCACAGGTAATGTGACGTCACACACTTGGACGTTTTCATTCTGAACGAACAGAACGAATCTATAGCAGTGTTACTAGTGGGGCCGCGTTTTCTCTCTCTCTCTCTTTCTTTCTCGCTCCCATGGATGCATTTAGAATGAACCAATGAATGCCCGGACGACAACTTTTTACCTAAAAGCGTTCGATTTGACCGGATGTTTCGTCCAGACGTTTCACCCAGATCGTTTAGAATGGGTTTAGAAAAACACCCAGGCTACAACTTTTCGCCGCACTCGAGACTGCGGCAAATTTCACCAGACATGCGCAGAGAAGCACTATTTATGCCTACGCAACCTATAAGAACCATATGATGATATGATTTGAGGTTATTATTATGTCTCACGCCATTTTAGCACCGAGACACTTCCGTATTTAACCGTGATAAATAGAATAATATAAATTATAAAGAATA